CTCCCCCACCCGCTCCAGTGTCAGGTTGCGGAAGAGGCTGCCCAGGCCCCGCTCCCCCAGGTCCACATCCCGCTGACAGGCTGGGCAGGGGAAGCTGACGGTCTGGGGGTGCACAGTGCCCCGCTTCCGCCCCGGAGAGCTACCAAAGCCTGTGGGAGGGAAGCAGGGAGGGCGTCAGGAGAGAGCTGGGAGCTCCAGAACCCCCAGGCCTCCTGCATTGGGGGCAGCACAGGGCCACAAAGATGATGAAGGGAATGGAGCATCTGTCCTATGTGGAAAGGCTGGCAGAGCTGGGGCTATTCAGCCTGGAGAAGACCAAGGGGGGATCTCATCAACCCTTATCAACATCTCTAGGGGGTGTCATGAGGATGGGTCCAATCTCTTCTCAGCAGTGCCCAGTGACAGGACAAGGAGCAATAGGCACAAGCCGGAGGACTGGAGGGTCAAGTTAAAAATAAGGAAGGAAAAACTGTGAAGGTGACAGAGCCCTGGGGCAGGCTGCCCAGAGAGGCTGTGGAGTCTCTTTCTCTGCAGACATTCCAAACCCATCTGGACATGTTCCAGTGGGATCTACTGTAGGTGATCCTGCTCTAGGAGAAGGCTGTACTAGATGAGCTCCAGATGTCCCTTCTAACTCCAATGACCATATGACTGTGACTGTCCCCATCCCCTCTGGCCATCCTACCTGACTTCAGGAGGCGGTCGAGGCGGTCGGGCTTGGGGACTGCCCGGCGTCCCAGGCGGGGGCTGCGGGTGGAGGGGGTGGCAGCAGGCGAGGAGGGCTCTGAGGTGGGGTCACAGCAGAGGAAGCCATGCTGCAGCAGCACCTCACTGGCACAGACATGACAGACGTTGTGGGTGCAGGGGAGGGCCAGCGGCTGCTTGTACATCTCCTTGCACACTGGGCAGACCAGCTCCCGCTCCATGTTCTTCATGCTGGTCTGGAAAGAGAGTGGGGAGTGTCAGTCACCAGCCAAGGGAGGGGCTGCACTGGGGACCAGGGATGGGATCAGGCTTGGGAGCAGTAGGATCAGGACCAGGGATGGGACCAAAACCAGGACCAACACTAAGTCTGTGATCAGGCCTGGAGCCAGGATGAGGACAAGCACCAAGGCTAAGGCCAGCACTGGGACCAGCAGCAGGATGGGGACCAGGGCTTTGACTGGCATGCGGATTGGAGCTGGGACCAGGATCGGGACCAGGATCAGGACCAGGGCTGTGATGGGGACCAGGACTGGGGCCAGGATGAGGACCAGCATCTGGGCCAGGATCAGGACAACGATCAGGACCAGGACCCGGCCTGGGAGCAGCAGCATGGCCAGGATTAGAACCAGGGCTGGGACCAGCAGCAGGATGGAGACCAGGGCTGGGAGTGGGATTGAAGCTCAGGCCAGTAACTGAGCCAGGATTGGACCAGTGCCATGACCAGGATGGGCACCACGACTAGGGCCTGGATGAGGACCAACACCCCCACACACGGTGTGTGGGCAGCTCCCAGTGCCAGGGGTGGCACGGAGCGGGGAGCTGGTCCCGGCCTTCCCAGAGGCCCCAGGCCCGGCGGGTCGGGGTCCGGGCCCAAGGGCTCGCCGCAGCCGGCCCGGCCCTCAAGGGCC